CAGCAGCCGCCGCCGCCGCTTGAGCACTGGCCATTGCCATCGCCCCCGGATTACTTCCGGTATAGCCGTACTGTACAAAATTGCCCGCACCACCGTCAGCCATCTCCTGAGCGGACATAATGTGCCGCCTGACAGGCGGCTGTGGTGATGCTCCCTGGTGGTGGTGGTGGTGCTGCTGGGGGTGATGAGGGTGATGACCTGCTGCCTGTTCCAGATGGCCCAAATCCTGATAGTTGTTAAAGTTGGAGTAGTCGCCGTAGCCAATCTGGCTGTTCCTCGCATAGGGGTCGTACTGCATCGGCCGAGGCGGCTGTACGGCGGGGCCGCCAGCAGTGGTGAAGGTGGCCGTACTGCCGGTGTTGGCCGTCGATCCTCCTGAACCAGCTGGGCTGGGCGAGGGCGCCATCAGATTCTGAGCCGCCTGCTGCTGCTGCTGGTGAAAGTTGGTGTTGCTGTAGGTGTGCGCCCCGGAATCCCCGGCAAACTGTGCGCCGCTGTACTGCTCGTTGAGGACGTTACCGCCGCCATTGCTTGTTGGTACTGCACTACTATTGCCACCGGCACCTTCTCTGGGCCCGGGAAAGTTGGTGTAGTCATTGCCTGCCGCTGCTGCTGTGGTGGTGGTGGCCGTCGTAGTCTCGCTGTACGGCGGCTGGTCGGCCACCGGCAGCCCGTCCGGGCCAATGTGGCGAATCTCCCGCGTCGTGTAGACCTTGGTGATGGTCTTCACCTGCTGCGTCTGCACCTGATTCGTCGTTCGACTGATCAGCTGCGCGTTCTCAGGAACTGAAGTGGTCGTGGTGGTCGTGGCGGCGGCAGAAGTGCTGATATTGGCGTTGGCAGTGCTCGTGGTGACGGTCGTCGACAAGGAGGAGGAGGAGGAGTTTGAAGAGTTTGAGGTATTTTTGGCATTAGTTTCAGAGCTTTCTGAATCCTTTTTAGAGGCGGCGGTTTCAGCGGAGCTGCTATTGGGCGGACTGCCATTGACTGCACTGGCAGCCGCTGTTTCGGTAGTTTCCGTCATATTGCTCGGGTGAACGGTTGATCGCCGGCTAATGTACTCCTCACTAGAGGTGGTGATCAGCTGTTGGCCTTGGCCGTGGTGATCAGTAGTAGCAGAGCCCGTCCCCGAGTCGGGAGTGCTGCTGGTGGAGAAGGAGGAGGAAGAAAACGGAGGTTTAAAGCTGCCTAAGTTTGCTGAAGTGCTAGTAAACGAAGTGTGCTTCTGCTGCTGGACATCCACCGGAACATTACTGCCTGGGTAGTAGTTTCTGCGGTAAAGAAAAAGCAAAAGAAAGAGATTGAGTCAGTCGTGTTGCGGTGAATGCGTGAAATGCAAAAAAATGAGCAGTGCAAAGTGCGCAGTGATAAGATTGTGTGAACAGGGAAAGGAGAGGAGAACCAAAGAAAGAGAGATAAAAGCAAGCAAAAGCAAAATGGGCAAAAACAGAGAGAGAGAGAGAGGGGACCTTTGCACTTGCTCGACCTTCTCACTGACAGTTCGTCGCTGGTCGAT